GCGAGCAGGGCCTCACGCCCGTTTGTTTCTGCTTCGTCGGGCATCTTATCGTGTTCCTCGTCCAGCGAAGGGACACGAGCTGGCAGTCACTCCTAGCAGTCGTCTTGGCGCAATCGGGTGCCTTTATGGACCAAGACTTGTCCAGATTCCCAGCAGCATGAAGCATAGAGAGGACGGCTAGTCGCGTGTGGCAGCTCCCATGGTGAGAATGAGCTTCTTTAACTTTTGGAGACCATGGATAGGAAGGGGTATCGGCCGTCTCAGGGGGTTGGCTTCTTGCGAATGGGCATTAGATGAGGAAATCCAGACGACAAGCTAGGTTCGGGATGACGGGGGCTCTTGCTTCTTTCATCGACACGGCGTCGTTCTTTGAGCAGACAATGAACAAGTCGAGACCGACGGGTTGGTGTGGATCTCTTATCGACGGGGCATGAGTTCGGCTTGCTCGAGTCCCAATGAGGGGTTCAATTGGAAATCAATTGAACAGTAGAATAAACAAAAGCCGGCATTGACATCTACATTCATCAGCCCTGTAGTCGTGATGAACCGCGACTCCGGCCAGGTGGCGTCTCAGATATCTCAGTGCGCGCTCAATTTACAGAACAGAGACCCTGGCACTAAGCCTAAAACGGCTCAGGACACCCCTGGACAGATGCATGCTCTCGGCTTCCATCTCCGCTTCGCCTTTTTCTCCCGTCCTTCTCCAAAACCCCAACTTTCCAGACCCTCCATCCATCGCCGACGGCATTTTGAACCCGCCTAGCCGCGGATTATGGACGCACCATGATGCGGCGAGTTGTTGTAACGGGCCTTGGCGCCATCACGCCGCTGGGCGTCGGCGTGCGTCCGACGTGGCGTCGTCTCGTCGCCGGCGACTCGGGCATCGTGGGCGTCTCCCACCTCGAGCCCCAGGCCAAGTGGCGCGAGCTAGGGAGCCCCGTCGCCGGCCTTGTGCCGACCCCCTCCACGGCCTCGCAGGATGTCTGGAAGGCTGCCGACTGGCTCACGCCCGCCGACCAGCGCCGCATGTCCACGTTTGCCCAGTACGCCGTGGCCGCCGCCGAGATGGCCCTCCGCGACGCCGACTGGAACCCCACCTCTCCGGCGGACCTCGAGGCCACGGGCGTCTGTCTCGGAAGCGGCATCGGCAACCTCGACGACATGTACGCCACCAGTGTGGCCTACGAAAAAGACGTAAGGGGTCCAGCGACCACCTTCTCTTCCTTTCCCCTCCCAGGGCAGACCCGGCTAAGCACAGTCGGCGCAGGGCTACAAGAAGGTGTCTCCCCTCTTCGTCCCCAAGATCCTCATCAACCTCGCCGCCGGCCACATTGCCATGCGCCGCGGTCTCCGCGGGCCCAACCACGCCGCCACGACGGCCTGCACCACGGGCGCGCACTCGATCGGCGATGCATCCCGCTTCATCGCCTTTGGCGACGCCGACGTCATGGTAGCCGGCGGCTCCGAGTCGTGCATCCACCCGCTGACCTTTGCCGGCTTCGGGCGCGCCCGATCCCTGGCCAACGCCACCCACCTTGAGGCCGGGGTGCGGTGCCGACCGTTTGACCGCGACCGCTCCGGCTTCGTCGTGTCCGAGGGCGCCGCCGTGCTCGTGCTGGAGGAGCTCGAGCACGCAAGGGCTCGCGGTGCCAACATCCTCGCCGAGCTCAGGGGGTATGGGTGCAGCGGCGATGCATTTCACATGACGGCGCCGCCCGAGGACGGGGCGGGAGCATTCTCGGCGATGCGCAAGGCGCTAAAGAATGGGGGGATCAAGCCGGGCGAGGTGGACTACATCAATGCGCATGCCACTGGGACAAAAGTCGGGGACGTGGCGGAGGCGACGGCGATCCGCAACTTGCTGTTGGGGGAAGAGGGCTTCCAGAGGGAGTCCGAGGTGACGGTGAGTAGTACCAAGGGCGCCCTGGGGCATTTACTCGGGGCTGCGGGAGCTATCGAGGCGTTGTTTGCGGTTATGGCCATTACCGAGGTTTGTTTCCATCTATCTTGCGAGGTGGTTGCTGCTGACTCTCGAGTAGAATGTTGCGCCTCCGACGCTCAACTTGCATAACCCCAGTGTGGGTGACATAGGGCTCAACTTTGTGCCTTTGGAGGCACAGGAGAAGAAGATCAAGGTGGCCATGTCGAATAGCTTTGGGTTCGGAGGGACGAATGCGTCGCTGGTGTTCTCGGAGCTGGACTAGGCGTGGACGGACGGCTGTCTGCGCTAAGCTGTGCACTTTTGCAACATAAATGTATATGAGAAGGGGCCTACCGCTGAAAGTAGAGCACTCTCTCTTTATCCCATGATCCATCTTCTGATGTTTGCAAATTTCCACTCCAAGTCAACAGAGTTTAATAGATGACATCCTGAACCCCAACCCTTATCACCAACACCGCCGTCACGATCGTGTCCGATAACAGCAACCCTGGACAATTTTCTGGACTTACCTCACGACCACCTCCCTGTCATGACGTGAGGCCTAAGCAGAGCTCCCATCCCAGCTCACCTCACCACCAAGCTCCTCGACCCGTACTTCACGACAAAAATGGCGTGCCGAAGCTGCAATTCAGCCATCCGCGCCCTCTCACAGCGTCCCACCCTCGGCCTCCGCCCATCAACCAGCTCCTCCCCCTCCCTCTCCTTTCCCACAGCTCGGACGACACCGGCCCGACGACACCTCCACGCAACGTCTCGCCCCCAAGCAGACACCCCCACCCCCACCCCCACCACACGCACCCCCGCACCACCGAAACCACAACCGAGCAATGTCCGCGAGCGGATGCAGGCCCTCCGGCTGCGCGCGGCCGACGTGGTGCGCCAGCGCGGCAACCTGGCGAAGACATACGTCATCTACGGCAGCACCGAGCGGCTCTGCGAGCTGCTGACGGCGCAAGCCGACTACCGGATCGACGCGGCGCAGCGCGCGGCCGGGGAGGTGCGGGAGACGGCCGACGGGGAGGAAATCGGCGAGCCCGCGGTCAAGGGCGGGGTGTGGCATAGCGGTTCGTTCCCCTCCCTCCCTCCCATATACCCCAAGGTTGCTGACATCCGCGGTGTGCTGCCATATAGACTTTGACCTCCCCCCGACCTTTTCCACCTGGGCGCACGTCACGATGCTGCACATGTACCTAGTAGTGGTGCGCCTACGCGCGTGCGACGCCGTCCAGTACAAGGGGTGGACGGACCAGCTGGTGGACCACTTCTTCCACGCGGCCGAGGACCGCATGGTCAAGCAGCACGCCATGACGTCGCGCGCGCTGCGGCAGCGCTACCTCAAGGACCTCTTTGTGCAGTGGCGTGGGCTGCTGCTAGCGTACGATGAGGGGCTGGCGAGCGGCGAGGACGCGGTGCTGGCGTCGGCGCTCTGGCGGAACCTGTTCAAGGCGCGCGAGGACATTGACGCGCGCGCGCTAGCCGGGGCCGTGGGTTTCATGCGGCGGTGCCTGCGCGAGTGGGACAGGATGGTGGACGACGAGCCGTTCCTCGAGCTGCTGCACGACATGGGGTGGCTCGCGGTGGGCAAGCCGGTCGAAGGCGAGGGGCAGCGGACACTGACGGCCGAGGACGTCCGGCATTTGTTTGCAGACATGGCGCGGGAGGAGCTCAGAATGGTAGACCTTGTCCCCCGCTCTCCATAGACACACATACTCTGTACAACTACCAAACCCAAATACCCCCCCCCCCTTAATCCACCCTCTCCCACATCTCAAAAACATACCCCGTCCCCCCCTCCTCCTGCACCCCCCCCGGCACCTCCTCCCCCACCCACCCATCCAGCCCCCCCTTCCCCGTTCTCCTCCACCCCCCCTCCCCCTCCCCCTCCTCCGGCAACTTCACCCCAAAAAACGCATCGCACTCAAACGCTCCCAGCACCCGCGTCAATAAAATCCTTCTTGCCAGCCCCCGTTCAACCGCCTCCCCGTACACCTGCGCCCCCCCAATCACAAACACCCGCCCCACCCTCCCCTCGTCCTTCAGCGGCGCCAGGTACCCCAGCGCGTCATCCAGCGACGCGGCACGCACCACCTCCCCCCCTTCCCCCTCCGGGGACGGGGGCGTGGGATGTCCCCGGCTGATGATGACGTTGAGACGGCCCGCGAGCGGGCGGAAGCGGGCCGGGATGGAGTCCCACGTTTTGCGGCCCATGATTACGGCGTTGAGGGCTGTAGGGGGCTGTGGTGGGGGAGGGGTGTTAGCTTGGGTGTGGGAAAGGGAGGGGAGGGGGGAGGGGGAGGTACGGCAGAGGGCGGCAGGCGCTTGGTGATGCGGGCGAAATAAGCCATTTCCTTGCGGAGACCGGTCCAGGGGAGGGAGCCGGCGAGGCCGATGCCCATGGTGTGGGTGGTGGCGGCGAGGATGAGGGTGAGGTCGAGGGGGGGGGGCATTTTGAACCGGGGCGGGGAGGGTTAGGGATTTTTATTGGGGTCGTTTGTGGGGGGAGGTTGCTTGTGGTGGTGGTGGTGGTGGAGGTTTTGGGTAGGTTGATTTGGTTGTTGATGATGAGGGATGGGGAGTGTTGAAGTATGTTTTGGGATTAAAGCAATGGGCGGATCTTTCAGGGGGGTTTTGGGGTCGAGACCGCTGGAAGTGACTCGGAGCACTCAAGTTGGCAACCAAAACCGTGACGTTCTTGGGGATAAACCCATCGTAGTATGGCATGTTTCCCCCCACTGAAGCCAATCTCAAACCTATAATAAATTAGAGGTTATAGCACTCTCAAATTGCTTTAAAACGAGATGGCAAAACCAAACCCTGCCATCGGTACGGGTCTCCACGATTTAGGGAGGGGGCCCCTCTTACTGCCCCTCTGCAAGCCATCCCCCATCCAGAGTTTCTTTCAAGCTGCTCCCTACACAGACAATCTTTCTCACAATCATTCCTGCACGCACTGCCCACAGCAGCATGTATGTCCTCAAAAAAAGCATTCCACCTCCCCGCCTCGTGCAAAAATAGAGGGAGAAATGAACCCAAGCCCCACCAAAAATAGGACTTCTAATGCCCCCGCCAGGGTTTGAACCTGAGACCTCAGCATAGGAGGAGAATGACCTACAAGTGCTGCGCTCTACCACTGAGCTACAAGGGCTGGTCATGTGAACCGGTGACGGTATCGCCTTACTAGATCGTCGGGACCAAGCAGGACAGAAATCAGCCACATCATCACCAACGAGCATGGGGGGAAGCATCATCCCACGCAGAACAGAGCGAGTCGGAAAACATTCATACGGCAGCGGGAGCACCAGCAACACTTCCAAATGCCTGTCTTGATTTATTCACAGACCCAACACCTCCAACGCGGATGCAGCAATGACGCTTGACCAGCCCGAATGATAATGAAGGTGCAAGGTAAAAGGTCTCTCTTTCTCTGTTCGTTTCTCTCCCTTCTGAAAAAAAAACCCGAGGATAGTAAATGTAGCAGGTCTCCTCCCATTTGCTCTTCCACCCCCCAAGGCGATACTAGTACTAATAATTCCAATCAATACACAAGTGGCTCGAGATCTCTTTCTCTCTTCCCCCTTGCCCCTTCCGCTCTCCCCACCCAAAGGCACAGTTGGCGAACCGCCCCAAAGAATCGAAAAACGCCGTACCTGCCTGCCCTACCCATCGTCTCATCCTAGCCGCCGTCGCAAAAAAACAAACAAATGACACCAAAAAAAGACTAGGTGGTATCAATTACCCTCCACGCTTTCCCATAACCCTATCTTTTCATCTTCTTGTCCCCGAACCCCCCCCCCCCCCATGTGAGCTCAGTCCCGGTCACTCGGGTTCCCGCTGCCGCCATTCCCCGCGCCGTTGGAGTTGTTGGACACAAGCTTGATGCGCGTCGGTGGCGCGCTCGAGGCGGGCTGGGGCGTCTCGGCCGCAGTCGACGGCGCGACCGACGTATCCTTAGACCGCCCCGACGGGTCCTCGAGGCGCTGGAGGTCGGGGTCGGCAAGCTCCTTTTCGATTTGCGAGATGAAGAATGACTGGCCCATGTTAGCGCGCTGAAGTTGAACCACACCAAACATCCCATGAATAAAAAAGACATACCTCTATCACTTTTGCATCTTGGCAGATGCCGCTGCTCTCCTCGTTGAAGGTCCGGCAGTTCTTCACCATGAGGTCGAGGTCCCGGCGCATGTCGGCGAGGCACTTGTAGTCGTCCTTCTTGATCCGCTTCTGAATGTCGCTCATGCAGATTGGGCTCGTGATCACTAGGTAGTAGTCTGCCCACTCGCGCTTGGGCGGAAGCTTGACGAACGGCCCGATGACCAGGCGCTTTGGTGGCTCGTCATCGTCCTGGTCGGCCGGGTTCTCTGGCGCATCGTCGTCCACCTCGAGGTTCATGAGGCCCTCGTATATCCTCCGCAAGCTCTTTTGCAGCTTTTCGCGCGTCTCGGGTGACATGCCGGCGGCGAGAGCCAGAGCCGCCTGGGCCGCCTTGGATGGCCGCCCTTGAGGGCCACGGCGTTTCTTGGCAGGCGGCTCGTCTTCGCCGTCCTCGGCCTTGCGCTTCTCGGCATTCTTGCTGCCCGGCTTGCGACCGCGCTTCTTGACGGGCGTCTCGATCTCTTCGGTGCTGGCGCGGCTGGGTATGGGCGAATTGTCCGCAGACACGCTTCCGCCGCCTGCGCCCTTGACCCTCTTCTGCTCCCGGCGTTCCTTGCGCGCCGCCTTCCTGGCAGCGGCCGCCTCGGGTGAGTCGTCGTCGTCGTCCACAGCCATGAGCCACTGCTCCTCGGTGAGGCCGTCGTCGTACTTGACCTTGGTGCGCTCACGGGCACCCCTGCCGAGCACCAGGTCGGGCTCCTCCTCGATGATGTTGCCGTCCGACATGTAAATCTCGGGCAGCTCGGCCTCCACCATGAGACGCGGGACGGCTTTGCAACCTGGTTTTGTGCCGTAAAGAGGGTCGCGGGCTCTCTCGTCGTCAATCTCCTGGAACACCACAAGTTCGTTCTCACTACGGGCGAGAATCATGTTGAGCTCCTCGTCATCCATCTCCTCCTGCTCGCCCGTCTCGGCCATGTCGGCCGTCTCGAGCAGGGTACGAAGCATGGCGTCACGGTCTGTCTCGGACGACTTGTTGTCGAAGCGACCAGCTTGGATAATCTTGCCGTCCATGTCAAGCTTGTACCGGGCGCGCTCCAGAATCTTCTCTTCGACCGAGGCAGAGCTGATGAGTCGCAGAATGCGGACTTCGTTCTTCTGGCCGATACGATGGGCACGATCTTGCGCCTGCAAATCCTGGTGAGGATTCCAGTCCGAATCGTAAATGATGACGGTGTCGGCTGTTTGCAAGTTGAGACCGAGACCACCGGCGCGGGTGGAGAGGAGAAACATGAAGTAGGGCGAATCCGGTCGGTTAAAGTCTCTGAGAAGGTCGGACCGGTCCTCTGACTTGGTGGTACCGTCGAGTCGGAGGTACGTCATGCCTCGGTAGCGCAAAAAGTCCTCCATGATGTCCATGATGGCCGTCATCTGGAAGAACATGAGAACGCGATGGCCCGTCGCCCTGTACTTTGGCAGCACCCGATCCAGGAGCTCAAACTTGCCCGCCGTTCTCCAGAGCAGGTCGTTGGAGGTGTTGAGGGGGTTCATTTGGTTCTCCACCTCGTCAAACACAAAGGGATGGTTGCACAGCTTGCGGAGCTGCATAATCATGTTGCTCAACCCACGCGCACCGGCCTTGCCACCCTTTCCGTCGCTCACGAGGATCTTTTGGTGCGTGACCATCTGCTTGTACAGCCGGGCTTGCAGTGCAGAGAACTTGCACTTGATGACCTTTTCCGTCTTGTCGGGAAGGTCTTTTTCCACGTCCTTTTTGAGACGACGGAGCAGGAAGGGTCGCAGCACCTTGTGCAGACGGCGAATGACGAGAATCTGCTCTTCTTCCGTGAGCTCCATCTTGTCTTGGCCGCCCGTGTTTGCAAAGGGGGTGTTGAACCAATCATCAAAGGTCTTGGCTGACTTGAAGATGTTGGGAAGGACAAAGTTGAGCATGGCCCACAGCTCGGCGAGGTTGTTTTGGAGTGGGGTACCAGTCAGAATCAGACGGAAGCGGGTGCTGTAGTACTGCTGGATGGTGGCGCTCAGCTTGGAGTTGGCGTTCTTCATGCGGTGACCCTCGTCGATGATCATGTGGAACCACTTGATCTTGCTCAGGAGTGGTCGGTCCTTGATGATGTACTCGTATGTGGTGAGCAGGACGTGGAACTTGCCCTGGCGAATCTTCTCCTGTTGCAGCTTTCTGGTGATGGGGGGTCCCTTGTAGACAATCTTGTTGATGGTGGGCGCCCACTTGTCGAACTCCATGTTCCAGTTGGTGAGTGTGCTGAGCGGCACGATGACCAGGTAAGGGCCATTTTGTTGCTTCTTCTCGATCAGGTACGTGATCAAGCTGATGGTCTGGATCGTCTTTCCGAGACCCATCTCGTCGGCGAGGATACCGTTGAGGTTGTTGTTGTACAGCGAAATCATCCACTGCAATCCCTTGACCTGGTACTCCTTGAGAGAGCCGCCAACCAGCATGTCGGCCTGCTGTGTAACCTCTTCCTTGACACGATGAGCAACGGCGTAGTAGTCGATCTTGCGGCTGGCCTCGGGGTCTTCTTCTTCCGATTCGCTCTCCTCGGCCGGCGTCTCCCCAAACTCGTCCCCGTACCGCTGGGCGGCTTGCCGCTGCTGTTGGCGGACAGAGGAGGCGAGCTGGTGGAGGAAGCCGTCGGTTTGACGAAGGAGATGGGTAATGCGGGTGTCCTTGGCCTGGTCGAGCAGCTTGAGATAGGCTTCCTCGTCATTGGCCTTGAGGGCTTGAAGACGCTGCTTGGCTGTTCTCTCCACCCTCTTCTGCTCCTCCTTCTCAATGTTGAAGTGGTGGTTGTACATCAGACGGCTCATCTTCTGCGTGTTGCTGCGGCGGGCCTGAGCGGCCATCTCAATGTCGCTCTTGGCCTGGGCAATGGCGGCAAACCATTCCATTTGCCTCTTCTTGTCGCGATTCTCGCGCATGTCACGCTGCTGCTTCTCCAGCTTCTCCGTGATGCGAGCCTCCCTCACAGACTGCTTCTTCATGCGACGATATTGCGATCGATTGGTAGTCATGGCAAGATTGTCGTAGTGAAGCATCTGCCGCCCGATCCTGTCCCGCAAGGCTCTCTGCTTCGAGTACAGGGCCAGCGACTTCATCTCGATGATGGCCTTCCTCTTGGCCGTATCGTCTGGCTCCACCGAGTCTTTGCTTGTGTCCCAATGCGCCAGCGTGCCTGGCAGGGCCTTGAGCTCCGAGTACCGCGCGCTCATGCGGTTGAAGACAATCTTCTCGCGGTCGGTTCTCAGCTGTTCAAAATCAATGCCGGTAGGGAAGATGCCAGGTATTATCAGGCGATTCCGCCGTTGGGCGTGCTCGCTGTAGCCGAGCGACTTTCGCACAAGGCCGCCATCGTAGGGAGACTTGACGCTCTTGAAAAAACGGGGCTTGGGGCTCGACGAGGCCTCACCCTGGGCGGCGACAGCGACGCTTGCGTTGGCCCTTGTCTCGTCTTTCGCAGCGCCCGGGGCAGGAGTCGTGCGGGCGGCCTGTTCGAGGAACGCGGCGTGACGTTTGCTTCGGTGGTCGTAGATGACTCTCTGCATTTGCAATGGCACACCCATGTTCTTTCCGAGGCTCTTGAAGGTCTGGATTTGTGTCCTCAAGAGTTGGAGCTGCTCGGGGCGGAAGTTGGAGTGACCTGCCGAGGGAGGCTGCCCCGATGGCGCGCCCGTCGGTCCCATGGTCGGCGCATTGGAGGCGGCGGGCAGAGCAGACACGCCGAGCGCACTCGAGGCCGGCGGTTGGCCCTGTTGTGCGACAGGCCCTTGTTGCTGAGCCGGACGATCCTGCTGGGCGCCGTTGACACCATTTTGCATATGCATCTGTTGTTGCACCTGCTGCTGATGTTGTTGCTGCTGCTGTTGCTGAAACTGCGCCTGCTGTCTGCGCATCTCGCCATGTCGCTGGAAGGCGGCCAAGAAGTTTTGCGTCTTGATGAGCTCGGGGTGGTTGCTCGGCACACCTGCACTCTTGAGCTGCTGATACTTCTGCAGAGGGGGGTCAGCACACGT